TCAGTTGAGAGTGATTAAGTTGATTTCGTGATCGCTAAACAACTGAAGATATCACAAGATATTGAAAAGATGGAGATGATATGGGGAAGCCTTCATCCAGCCGTGGATAGATCACTACTTCTGCTGCTGCTGATTATGATGATGGTGTTCATGTGCCCACACATAGGACAGAAAAAGTCGGATAGCTTTTGCCTCAATGCAAGCAAGTTTGGTGGTCACATCTTACTGACATGAACTTCATATCAGGCCAATATGCTCTTGAGCTAATGGCTCAAACATTGATTATTGTTACTACAGAAGGTGGCAAAAGCTTTGAATGATATTCTTGAAGGACTTTATCTCTTGATTACAAACATGTATGATAGCAAGGTCACTGTGGTAGCTGTCCATGAGTAACACGTTCTCAAATAAGGGTCCCATAGTATGTTTGAAGTAGAATGTACTCCACAATAATATAATTTTGAAAAAGAACAAACGTGTAATGAAACATGTGGAATATGAAGGGTGGCTATGAAACAGGATAGAACATACATGAAGCTTTCTGTCCATGGTGGACGCTGCCCACCGTGCAAACGAGAAGCATTTGTCGCCGCAAGTGGTACCGGATCAACCCCCTCGGTTCACGGACTGCGAGGGCTCCACAGCTCACCGCACAGCCAGCTTGAAGGGATCTGGGGGACAGCAAGGTTAGTGATAATTCTCCCCGTGCCGCACTATCAGGGCCAGACCAAACACCTCTGGTTTCAAAGGTGAACGCCCCCGGTGTCAAGGCGAGCGACCTAATCGCAAGACCACCCAGCTCACCCCCAGCACCTAGCAGAGACGTCACAGCGGGGTTCCGTGTTGATTGACTGGCGATTGACTGGTGAAAGATCAACGCTTCACTTGAGCGCAATTTAGCTCGTGTTTTCCCTGTCCTGCTGCGTCGATGCTTGTAATTTTCCACGTAAAAAAAATAATAAGCCCAAAGCCTAGGGGGTTCCAAGTAGCTCAAGGGATCTCCGAATATCATATGTCAGCCCCGATGTTGCTGCATTTGCACTTAAATGACTCCCACAGTTCTGGCTCATCAGCGCTTTAAAGCTCGCGGTTTCTAATCACGCAGTTTTTATGTATTTATTTGCTCATTCGTGGCTAGCGGCCCAGCCGATGGCCAAATCACCGACAATGTGCCAAATGTCATCAAATCTCAGACGCTAATCAGGCGTGAGTCCCACGCAGTGCCTGGTTAGGTGACCAGGTGCGGCACGTAACTACACACGTGATATTCTGGATTAGCTGTGTAACTTGATTCCACTCTTGTTCTTGCGTATGGCAGCAATGTGTTCAGGAGCCAGAAGCCGTTGTCGATGGTCTGCTGGCCATGTCGAGAGGGCTTCAGGGGAGAGTTCACGTCGCCTTGCTGTTCATCTGTTGAAGGAGTGTAGACTGCGGTGCTTTACGAAACGGCCCATGGAGGTTTACTTTGGACGCAGCTGAATGATATCACAGTTGTGTGATGTAATTAAAGTAATAGACTTAATTGCAGGATCGTGAGAGGTGGCGCTGGCTGGGCGAGGCATTAATCCGGCAGAGGATTGACCATGGCTCATGATGACGATGAAAGTTAACGCACAGAGACAAGGCTCTCTGTGTCGCCTGCACAGGCAGTTGGGGCAAGTGCTTTTGGCGAGCACCTATGAAGGCCAGCACAGGGCACGAGGGGGGATGGTGTGGTCAAAGCTGCACCTGGCCGCCTTTGTCTTTCCAATTCGAATTTTTTGCACACCACAGCAATTACTCGTTTGAGGCTGAGTCGACCTAGGGAAGGCCCATGACCGGTTCAGAAAATCGTGTTGGCAATGAGCGGAAATAGAACTCGCGTCGCAGGGTTGCTAGTGCAATTCACTAACTGCTACACTACCGCTCCCCAAACATATGCACTCATGCACAATTACACACGAAAGAACAATTCCGTATCTCTGTACACCTGTGTACAACAATACAAATGCACGTGTGGCCACATGTGAACTTGTACACACGTGTGAACTCAGCAGCTTCTCGACTTCGTCTGCTGCAGTCCTATGCATGTGTACACATGCGCATGGGGAGCGGTGGCGCAGTGGTTAGCGCACTGCACCATGAACCCGGCCCCCCGAGTTCAATTTCTGCCCACGGCTAACATCAGTGGTGACGATCTGGTGAACCTGTTGGGCAGGCTTCGCCGACGCCGACTGAGTCTGAACGCGAGTATCTGGTGCAGCGGTGACAACATCAGCACTTTCAGTTGGACATGGTGCTGGCCAAACACCGTCCTCGTGCGACGTTTTGAACTCAATAGGTGCTCGCTAACAGGATGTGGCCCAACAGCCTGTGTAGCTTTGCGCGAGTGTGCGCGTCTGTGCATGTGTATTCTTGTCTGTATGTGTATAGTGGGGAGCGGTGGTGCATTGGTTAGCGGGCTGTGCTGATAACCCAACTACCCAAAATAGATTTCGACTCAAGGCTACTAAGAGTGATGAATATCTGAATTGGTCTTGGTCTCCATTAGGTGGACTCGGCCTCAAATGAGTACCTGGTGTAGTTTGCAAACATCGCCACTAGGGAGACAAAGGCGGCAGAGCGTGGTGCTGCCCGACCCCCCCCCCCCCGTCATAGGTGCTCGCTAACAGCACTTGCCCCAACAGTCTGTTAAATCTATACGGGGGATCTTTATCTTTGTCTGTGCGTGTGTCTAAATTCTCTTTAAAAGCGATCACAGTGGGAGAGGGGCTCGGTGGGAGGGAGTAGTCGGAGCTTGTGGGAGTATGGGATGGGTCCCCATTCATCTAAACCTCCCACCCCGACTCAAAGGGCTCATTACTTGTATGGAAAAAGAATATTCATCACCCTTGGCTGAAGTTGTGACCTTCTCTCAGCACAGGGCCGAAGCTGACCCGGGGGGCGGGTGCGTAAGGGGCACCACGGTGGCGATGAGATGTTAACTACCTCGCCTGGTATACAGGTGGTCGTGGGTTCGATCCCGACCCTAACGCCAGTATATATTTGGAGTTTGCGTGTCTCTCTACTCGTGGCCGTGTGAATTTTTCTCCGGGTCCTCCGGGTTTTTGCCTCCACATTTAAAAATCAAGAATCACGCGTTGATTGTATTTAGCTGCTGTAAATGTCCACGTGATGATGAAGAGCCACTTCGTTGAGCTATCACTCGTGTTGCCAGGGTCGCTTCAGAATTAAAGAGCTAAACAGCTGAGTGGACCTCACCTAGTCCCAACATTTTTATTTATTCACTTTATTTTTTTTTGTTATTTTTCTATCTACGAGACTTTTACCGAAAGAACCATCAAATATTCAACCGCTCCTCTGGTTAGCACTGGTGGGGCTACGTAAAATAAAATAAAAAGAGTTCAATAGTTAGAATACAAAATACAAAAGCAAAAAAAATGGGGGGGGGGGGGAATGAGGGGTGCAGAGTACGTGGGGGGTTATCACATCCCCGTAATGCACACCCCCAGCTCTTAAACAAGCGGCCGAGGAATTCCCTCCCACACATGCAGGAGACTTAATGAATTCTAACTGGTTTCCACAGTGGTCTGGGGAGGTGGCGGGGCAAGAGGGGTGAGGGTTCTTATTTGGGAGAGGAGGGCGATGAGGAGGGAGGGGAGGGAGGGGAGGCACTGTTGTTGTTGTGCCACCAAGAAAGGGGGAGTGTGCAAATGTTTTGACTCAGTTGGTAGGGGGAGGGCTACCTTTAAGACAATTGCTTAAGTTTACAGGGGACGATAATTGGTTCGGCCGAGGGTTTGAGGTGCCAGGATGTGGGGCGCGTTGGAATTTTGATAGGGCTGTGAATCTGTGGTGGTGCTGGAGGTGGTGGTGAGGAGTAGGAGGGGTGATGAGGAGAGCGGACAGTCGCAAAAAAAATCTTTAAATATTTAAATAAGGGAAATGTACAATAAATAACCGGCTATGTGTCTCGGCAGGAGAGAGAGAGAGAGGGTGGCTCGTAATCGGGAAGGTTGCAGGTTCAATCATGGCCGGGGGTTGACTCAGCCCATCATCCCGAGGGGGGAGGGGGTTGATTAATTAAGCACTACTTTGTTTGTGAAGTGAACAGTGGGTTTGTTCTATGAAGAGAATCGCCTCCGCCCATGTAAATGTGGCATTTCCAGAATCAAAGTCAGAATTCTAGATTTGAAGCTTTCGTGACTGCAAGGATTCATATTCTTATGTTTTTTAGGTAAAGTCACGTAGGTACAAAATGTAATTAAAATTAATAAAAGTAAAATAAAAATTAAATAAAAATAAACGTCGTGATTTTTATTTTTATTTTATTTTTATTTTACTTTTATTAATTTTTATTTTTTACCTACGTGACTTTACCGAAAAAACCTAAGAATACAAAATCTGAATTTTATTTATGCTGGAGGAAATCCGATGAGCTATAACGCTCTATTCACATATGTCTTCTTGACAGATGTCCAAGCAGCTCGTTTGAGCAGGAAATGGCTCCAACTTGTTTTTTACGGGACGGGGGGGAGGGATAAGTACAGAATAAGGCGACTGAGGCGCACATGTGGGTTGGACTCTCTCTCGTGCCAAATTGGCCCACCCAGTCAGACACTTCGATGCCGAGCAGCTTGAGCGGGTAAACACGGAGCGTCGGAGCGGCCAATAATCATTGTGGCCGTACTCAAATTAGATATTTCCTCTTTCTAAAATAAAACTCCCTGGGTGTTCCGTTTTTTTTTTCTCATATCCATGCAGTCTACAGAGACAATAGCTTCACACACGCATATTCTGGCGAATGATGTAATCCTCCTTTGGATGCAATTTTAAACTATGCCTTTAATGTCACAAATATGAACCAATCACAAAGTCATGAATGTGCAAAAAAAACACCTAATCCCACTAGCATTGCATTTATGTTGTTGTTTTCATAGACCAGCAACTTCTCACCGCTGGGCAAAGCCCCCCCCCCCCATTCCCCTCCATTCCTTTGTCTCCCCAGCGTGGCCTTCGTGATGTCGTCTCGCTACTACTGCTGCCTCTGCTGCTGCAGCTTCGCCTGCGACTACTGCCTCTCCTACTGCTGCCTCTTCTACTGCTGCCTCTGCTGCTGCAGCCTCGCCTGCGACTACTGCCTCTCCTACTGCTGCCGCTACTGCTGCTGCCTCTGCTACTTCAGCCTCTCCTGCGACTACTGCCTCCCCTACTGCTGCCTCTCCTACTGCTGCCTCTGCTGCTTCAGCCTCTCCTGCGACTACTGCCTCTCCTACTGCTGCCGCTACTGCTGCTGCCTCTGCTGCTGCAGCCTCGACTGCGACTACTGCCTCTCCTACTGCTGCCTCTCCTACTGCTGCCTCTGCTGCTTCAGCCTCTCCTGCGACTACTGCCTCTCCTACTGCTGCCGCTACTGCTGCTGCCTCTGCTGCTGCAGCCTCGACTGCGACTACTGCCTCTCCTACTGCTGCCTCTCCTACTGCTGCCTCTGCTGCTTCAGCCTCTCCTGCGACTACTGCCTCTCCTCCTGCTGCCGCTACTGCTGCCTCTCCTCTGCTTCTCTCCCCGTCTCTCTCGGTCACCACTCCGCCGTTAGTTTCCCCTCTCGCCTGCCCGGTCTTCACACTGACGCACCCTCGCCGCTGGACTTCCCTTGCTTTACCAGCGGCGTCGAAGACCGCCCTGTTCTCTTCCTCGTTCCTTATTTTTCCTCAATCTCTTAAGGATCGCATCCTCGCGGATTAAGTCGAAGGACTTAGACATATATACAACTGCAAATAAAAAAAACATGGAGTTGTTTGCGAAATTCGTGGTTTAAAATCAAATGAAAGGTTTGAATGTTAATATTAAACCCAGGTTATTCGCACGGGTAGAATCTTCACTTCCCGTGTTCAGAGATTCGGTCGTAATTGTTCGATCTTCAGTGCAGCTGCTGGGCAGGCGAATGTGACTAATGTCCGTCGTGGCCTGCAACACGGTGGCACGTACGAATATTGTGCGAAACGAGTTTAGGATTTGCGATGCCACAAGTGTATTCGCGTGGCGCTCTGAACGTGCTCACTCGCCCGTACTGGACGCTGGTGACAAAGAGATCCACGGCTCATCGGATTCCTCCAATCTAAATAGATATCCTGGAAAAAAAAGATTCAGATTCTTGCCTGTTCGCGCTGCACCACGTGCCGATTCCCAGTCAACGTTTGGGGCCATTTGTTTGTCATCCACGCGATGAACACCGGATGAGACATTGTACAACGTGCACACAGAAAGGCTTCCCCGAGTCGGGAATCGAACTCGTGTGGGCTCTTCTCACTGCGAGGCAACGAGGTGGGGTCACCACCGAGCTGTCCGCCAGCCCTGTGCCGGTGCTGTAGCTCAGCACGCGCCAGACTCGACACTAAATGTACTCAGCACATTAATCGTGTGCACGCATCGAAACCCTCAATAACCACCAGCAATGCACTTTTAAACTCAATGTGATGAACGAAGACCGGGGGAATTTGTCGACGCGTCGCAGGCGAATTATAACGGTGAGCTATCATGGAGGGTAAAGGAAATGTGTAAATGAGGAGTCAGGCGTGATGGGTTCGAGTAAATATCGAGGCTTAACGGAATCCAGCCGAGGCAGTCGGAGAAGTGATGGGGATTAAAGTGCGAGTAGAAACAGACGGGAGAGAGGACAGCGCTTGCAAGCTGCACCCTATTACACATCTGCGCGTAAGACCTTTTGGACATTTCCATGCGCACCGCTAACATTTACACGTAATCTCTCAGCGTGCCACGCAGTAGGGTTTCTTTTTTTTGTGGCCAATATTGTGACTCACAATTTACTTTTGACTGGGGGAAAAATCTAGTTTGAAGAGCGAGAATTAAATTACGTAAGCAATTTTAACAACTGGATGCAACTGTGGAGCGTCTGATGCAAAGTTATTTAGTAATATCACAGACAGAACTGAATAGACGGGAGGTCACGATTTCTGGCGTTTTTGAGATATAACACGGCGCAGAGAGAGAGAATTAATGTTTGGGTTAGGCCACGTTAATGGTTCTGGGGAAATGCAGCTCTATTTGGTGATGAGAATTGTTCTTTGACTTACGAGGGGAGCTAAAACGATAATTTGCTCGTCATTAAACCCTTGTGCACGTGACAATTAAAATGTTTTGACTCTTATTTGGCCAATGGAGGGTCTTAGGACAGGAACATGGCCGGATAATTCCGTGGTCTAACCGAAACATCAATTGTGAATCGTAATCTGTCGGCGTTTTTCAAAATTAAACCTGGCGCGATCGTGCATTCTGCTGCTGTGCACCGAGTCTGTGGGGCACTGCTATTCGTAGCGACCTCGGTCGGTGCTACTCGCTAACAGCACTTGCCCCAACAGTCTGGTACAGGCTACATTGGGGCTCTTTGTCTCTGTCCCTAGCAACGTCAGGAATTGTGACTTGACAGCACTTTTTAAATCGATCTTGACAACTTAATTTTATTTGTTGGCTTTTTCTGAAGTCTAATTTTGTTTCACCGACGCCTTGGGCGTCATGGTCACTGTTCGCTTTTGTTGCAATTCGTCATCATTTTGTCTACAGTGCGAGTGCAGTTGTCATTTTATTTATAAAAAAAATGTTTTTACTGTGTTTTTATAGTATTTTATCAATACTGTACTTGTGAGTGGTGTTTTTTGTCCAGTGCTTTGAGATATTCATGAAATGTTATTCGTCCAATAAAGATTATTACTATCAAAAGCTTTACAGTTGATGTGCAAGCTATCATAATAAACGACGACATGTCAGCAGCTGTGACACTTTGCTGCGGTAACCTCGCCGTTTGTGGCTTCGTAGCAATGAACAATACATCGCGTATTGGTGTAATTCCCAGGATGCACCTCTCTTCGTGATGCTTCGAGCACCTTTTCTGCCTTGTTTCCGTATTGTTTTGTATTTTTGCCCAGCTGATTTATTTCTCAACCGAATAAAATGAAGCCCCACCTGTCTCTGTCTTCGAGTTCAGACGATAAAACTGGAAACATCAAAATCAAACGGGAACACATTTTCACTGCGCATTCATTCCACTCCTGAGAGTCCAAAACGCGTTGGCTCCTGCGTCGAAGTGCATTTGATAGAAGATGAAGAAAAAAGGTAATTTATTACAACAAATTGCCAAAGGGGCCAGACAATTCTGCCAAGTAGTGAATCATGTTGTGGAAATGTTTCAAATAGGTGGGGGAAGTGCCAGTGTTTAAAATAAATATATGTGAAAATTAAATATAAATGTACCTTAAAGCATAACCTTTGCATTACAAAGCGTAGCAAATTACTAATAGAGACAAAGATCCCCCGTTTAACACGTAGCCCTTCGCGACCAATATCATCCACGACACATTTATAGTTACGCGATCTAACCCAAAAACCTCTGTTATGGAAAATATCCCCCGTGTAGCTTTTAGTCGACTTTTGGGGCAAGTTCTGTTGACGAGCACCTATGAAGGCCAGCACGATACATGAAGGGGGTGGGTGACACACACCACGCCCGGCCGCCTTTGTCTCCCCAGTGCTGATGTTTTGCACACCGCACCACCACGCACTGTGCTCATTTAAGGCTGAGTCGACCTGGGGGAGGCCCACGATCGCTTCAGACATTCGCCAACTGTGGATTGATTGCGAGCGGGAGCCGAACTCGTGTCGTCGGGGTTTCGTAAAGCAGTGCGGTAACCACCGCGCTCTTCACATAATAACCACATCTCTGTAAAGATGTACACACGCGCTCGCTCGCACGGGCGCACACACATACGGCGCTGTTACGGTGACGACGCGACAAATTGAGGCGGCCGTGTGACGTGTCCCGCGAGACACAGTGGCTCTTGCAAGTCTCTGATGTCATATTTGATCCACTCCAGTTGGCTCGTGTTTCGTTCATTCACTATTCATCTTGCTTTCCTGGGCGAGTCGCAGCAAACCGTATCCACTCACAGAGCCTGGAATGTTTTCTTCGTGTACTAAGACCCATTGGCTCATAAGGCTATGTCACCAATTAAACAACATCAGTCATAATTCACAGCTGTTTATCAGTCTACCGCTGAACGAAGGCCTCCCCGTGCCGTAATCATTCATGGGGGTTTGTTAGACCATACTTCATCACGCTGGGCTGTGCCGGCTGGTGAAGTGACCGGTTTAGATATCACTTGCCGCTGACGTTAGCCATGGCCAGGACTCAAACTCAGATCGCCAGATGCATAGTCCAAGTGTATGAACCACTGGTCCCCCGCTCCACCAACGATATTATTCACGTGCAGTGTAAATACATTCTCCACTGTATCCGTTTTGGTTTTATGTAAAGCTGTTTTGACAAAGTCACTTGAAGTGGAAGGTGAGTAATATACACACGGCAGTGTAAATATATAAAAACGTCTTACAGAGCGCTCATGGTCTGATGTTACAAATATGTGAAATGAAGGCACCTGATGGTGTATATGGACACGGTGTGTGTGTACGTGAAAAAAAAACTTCTTCAATGACGAATGGGCTGAAAGAATGAGGACACAGGACGACACGAGGTCTTAGTTAAATAAAGGCGCAGCCCTTCAACTGCTTGCTCACACCACTGCTGGCAGAAGGACCTCCACACTGGTGAGAGCACGTGATAACGCTGCCCACAGACATCACGGAAGAGGTGGGAATTACCCACACCTTACCTCACCGCACGTGACCTACTCAGCTTCATCTCGGTGAATCGTTGTTTTTTGGGGGGTTTATTCTTCTAAAACAAAACAACGGACGCCAGCCACCAGTGTGACTTTTGGAAACTGCCCAAGCGTAATCGGACAGGCGAATCAATACTCGGGGGGCCGTGAAAATGAAAATGAAATTTTCACGGCGCTAGAAACAAGCAGGCACTTCCCGAAGGGAGGTGAGCTGTGGAAAGGTCACTCATAAATTCTATAAAACACAATTGCCCAACTGTTGATAAATGAGTTGGCCTCTCTCCAGTGGCAGAAGCAAAATGAAAGCTTTGTGTTTATGCTTTCTGCTCCAGTCCATAACCCACGCTAACGTATCCAATGTCACCCTGGTTTTGAAAATGGAGACAATTGAACATTGGTGATAAAGTACCTTCGCCGTGAAGATAAACAATCTTCATAACAATTTTTTACGAGTTTTCATGGGCTCTTCTCGCAATCTGTATTATCATTATAATTGTTATAATTATATTTTTAACGCGCACAGATATTTATCGGACAAAATATGAACCGTGACTCGTCCGACGCGCTGGAGGGCCGGGCGAGGGAGGACGCGTGGTGGGGGGGGGGCTGCAGTGTCCCTCGGACGTCGGCGCGGATTGAACGCCCCGCTGCCGTGAAATGTCCCAGTGGGGAATGATGGCAGGCGGTGCCACGGATCAGCGCCTGCTGCGATTGGCACGGTTGTCTACGTAGGGCGCGAAAGAAAGTGCAGCGTGTGTGCGGAGAAATGATGCACGGCAGTGGCCAGGCGGAGTTTGACTTCTATATTTGGGGGGTGGGCAGGGGTTCGCTTTGTTAATATTTTTTTTAAAATCTTGTTTGTAAACTACCGAAAATAAATTAATTCATGTGTCCAGTTTGGGGGGGGGGGTGGTGTAGGGGGCAATGCTCCCCCCCCCAAAAGCTCCGCCCACGATGGTCACGCTCCTGTGTGTGGAGAGGAAGGTGGTCGCGATTCGCGCTGAAGAGAGTTCTACCGTCACCTCGAGTGCACGGTGGCACGGATCACCAGTC